CAAAAGGCGAACCAAATTCTTGTGGCGCACATGACCAATGGCTTCAACTTCCACTCTAAATTCTTTCTCAGCTTGACCCCTGAAAAAAAAAATTTAAGAAATTCAATGATAAAGCTAATTGGAAAACAAACAATCTTCAAGGGTAATTTGGAAAACTAAGAAAGCTGGGTTTAAACTCACAAGTTATTAAGAATCTTCTTAACTGCAACTGGAGTCCCATTGATCAACTGTCCCCGGTAAACAACTCCATATCCACCCTCCCCAAGAACATTTTCTTTTGAGAATCGATTTGTTGCAAGTTCAAGATCCCTCAGCGTAAACCAGTGACCCCAACCAAGGTGAGAGAACTCTGGCAGCCCAACTAGGGGAGAGGGAGCAGTAACGGGATACGACGAAGAAGGTTTATATGCAGCTACGGTGCCAGAACTGCCTTCTTCACCTGATTGAGAACCAACATCTTTGTCTAAATGATGAAATGAACCTGACTGGCTGCTATTATCACCAATGTTCATCTTTCCCATACCAAGATGAAGCAAAACCTTATCAGATTCTTTGTCACTGGATTTGTCATGAATGGTAAAAAGAATCCCATCACGAGGAGCAAAGTCATTTGCTGATACATGCTCCACCCTAACTTCCTTAATTTCTTTCGAAACAGGAGGGATTTGACTAAGAGGAAGCTTGTTTCTAGCTCTTCTTGATTTCTTCCTCGAAGTCAAACAGAAGGACAACACAGAGAGGATAATTATGATGAAAAGGGCCACAACAATCCCAATTACTTCCCAGACCTTGAGGCCAAAAATAGCAGTCTTTTTGGATAGTTCGGAATTAAGATCTGAAGCCATTCTTCGCTTTCCCCTTCAAATATCTCAAACCTAAATAAGTTCACATATAAAACGTATAAAGTACAGTTTCAGAAACGCAGAATCTCACTGTAAGGTTAAAGTTATTCGATCATATATATGACATATCGAAAATCTTGTTCAAATTCCCAAAGCTCTAGAGTGTAAACCCGTCATTTTTCAGACGCAATTGAGGATAGAATATGTTACGAGTGTGCCAAGCCACATCAACCAAACTCCGAAGGAGAAATACCTCGGAAGCACAACAAATTAGCACCCAACAAATACTCTCATCAACACGAGCAAACAGATCGTGTCAACTAAACGACCAGAGAAGAAGAAAGCAAACATCCATCAGAAACACAAGGACGTTACATAATGCAAGTAACAATCTTTGACAGGATTAAAGCCTACACGGTAAAATTAACAAGCAGTATACCAATTGAAAAGCGAAAAGCATAAAAAAAAAAAAAAGCGAGTAGGGAGGAGCAGGTAATGTTCTTACCCTTCTGAGACTGAATCCACAGGAGCAAACCTCAAAGTCCAGATCTTTGAAAACCCTCTAGCATGCTCGGCAAGAGAAAGGGAACCAAGTAGGGAAGACTCAGATCTCAGAGCAAAGAGACCAGAAATCAACGTCAAAGGGAAAACATTGGAGGGGAATGAAATCAACCCAGGTGTTAAAAGCAAGAGTTAAATAGGGAGGGGAAAGTAAATTTCCGTTTGTGGGAGGTATCAGTGCGGGGGACAAAGGTGAAGGAGATCGAATCTAAGCTGGGATGGAGCTTTCTTCCACCAGCAGTGAGCCTCCTTTGTAATCCCAAAAACGAGAAGCCAGAAATGAGAAGGAAAGTGGGCAGAGCGTGTGAGTTCGACGGACATGGAATTGTTGAGACAGAGACTTTGGAAGTTTTGAGTGGTAGGGGGTGGGAATAGGGATAATAAGGGAAGAAGAGATGGAGTTATCAGTGGTAGGTGATGGCTTACATTACAACACACACATTACAGCAACATATACATACAGTAAAAGAGAAGCATGTGTTAAAGGTCTGGTTAGGATTTTCTTCATTTGTCATGAAGAAGACTTATATTATCAGTAAATTTGTCTTTCTATCTCAGTCGACAACACTTCCTTTACTGTAGACTTTTAAATAAAAGGTGAAATTTTTAGTTTTTTCACTTCGGCTAATTTTTTACTTGTGGGATCTATGATTATCCTTTTTTTATTTTTTAATGTTATATGTAAGTTTAATCTAATAAAATTGCTGGTCAAACTGGTAAACAAATGCTGAATATGATGATGATGATGATGATGGAGGAAAAGTAATTCTTAGTGCAAAACCACACACATCTCTATCCGTCAGTGTTAAATGCACAATGATTGGAAAAGCATGCCAAATTCGACGTGGAGACAACTGTAATTTTAATATGCATAAATTACATTTAAAAATTAATATAAAATATATATATTTGTTAAAAAGATTGAATGGATATTGTGTTAGTCATTTATTTACATGCAAAACACCGAAAGAAAAATATAAATCATCATATTGCGTGTGGTATTTTGGAGTTAAAAAAAAATTAACTCCATCATATCAACATTAATTAACTTATATTACAAGAATAATATGTCATCATTTCATAAATATTACATTTTTAAATAATTTATAATCCATAAATACGTGATTTAAAATCAATCTTTTAATTAGCTAACCTAATTATTATAAACATATTTCATTAAGCTATTTCGGGTACAAACAACAATTATTTTTATTTTATAATTACTTTTACAACTCATATAATATTGTCAAATGGTAAATAAGTATGATTTATAGTTTATAAATTTATTATTGAAAAATACGCATGAATGTACAATTTATAATCTTTTTTTTTTTTTTTTTTGGGGAGAGGGGGGATGAAAACAAAGAAATCTCATGTACGAAAATTTTGTAGGCCACCTCGTTGCTTAATATTGTGTACAAAGTACAAAGGCAAGATTTAATTTGTTTCGCTTTGGATCTCCGCCACCTTATAGACTCCCCTACCCCTACCTCTACCTAATTAACACCCAAACTCTTACAAAACGACAGCGTATTAATTAATTAATTATATATATGTATACGTGTTACAATAATAATTTGAAGTTTCTGTTAAAAGCCACGAGAGGTGTGTTACTTTGAACGTGAAAAAAGAAAAGATTAAAAGTTCACTCGAACCCGTGACTCAACGGTTATTATTATGTCACATTTAATTAGATTAGTAATAATTATGAAATTAGTATGATTCCGGTGATTATGTAAATAAGCACTCCCATGATTAATCACCTGCACTAATTTCGGATGCCACGTACAGCCATGGGCCCCTAATTTATGTTAGCCTTCAACATGTATGTATTTGGACTTTCAGATCCAACATGCATTTATACATAATATTACATTTTACATTTTAGTTCTCTCTAATTTCAAACTATAAGTTTATTTTATTTTTCTGTAATTTATGCAGAATTAATTTGATTCCTACCGTAATCGTCATTAATGTATACTAGATACTCAAAAAATTTAATATTAACCCACACAAAGAAGAATTATAAACTTTAATAATCTTCGTATCCACAAAAAATAAGAAGTTATTTTATAAAATAATTTATAAAAGTTGAAGTAAATATTTGAAAAGTCACTAAAAATATTATAAAGCATTACTTTTTTTATTTTAATATACATATTTTACTAATTATAATAATATATCTTCATTTTTTTAATAAATTTCACGATAATAGGTTAACTTTTATTTCAAATCATTCGTAAACAAATTTACATTCCATTATTTCTTTAAATTTATTATTTTTTATCTAAGAGAATGAAGTAAATAAAATTACATTGTATCAGGAAAATCATAAATAACTTGCTCGACGTTCATCATTTATAAGAATCAAATAAAAAGCTCTGAATGACCATTAAAAACTCAAAAAAAAAACCTCTCCAATCAACAACATTGAACTGAACATTCTTATAATAATATACTTTCTTATTCTTGTTTTAAACACTCTTATGTATGAACTAATATATTTGACGATTACGGGTGAATGAAATCTCAAAGCCATTCATTAACGCTTGGAAGGTCGCACACTTGGATGAAAAAGACTTTAGGGAGTTGATATTAAGAAAAAGTAACTGAAAGTTACGGGCAAAAGTAGTCATAGTTAAAATTTGAACTACATGATCAATTTTTAAAAGATATGAACTTAAGTTCATGGAACAAAATCATATCTAAAATAAAAGATTTGTACTCCAATTTTTTGGTTAAATTTTGAACTGCATGATCAATCTTTAAAATAATTAAGAAATTCAAAGACAATGAGTTTGCAGTTGTGAATTGCTTGACAACTACATAAAATACATTATCTGTAAGTTTTTTTTTTTTTGGTTAAAAAAGGATTTAATGGAGAATCACGTTGAAGTAACAAAGTGACTATTTTAAGGGCCTATTAAACTTTGTTTACGAGCACGTACACTTAATAATTGACATTTTAGTAAATTATGTGAAATAGATATTGACTGATGCTGGTAGCTACATACATTAACAAGTTTAATTGGCACGATTAATACCTAAAATACATTTTAAAAATCTTGGGAGGTTTTTGACTCTTATCTATTCCTAATATTTATTGGTTATAAATTAAATTATTTTATAACTAAATAGATATTTTAAATAACTATAATTTTTAATTTAAAATATTAAAATTATATTAACTTCGACAGTTCCATGCTGGTCTCTCTTTCTATATTTTTTTGTATTGGATCAATCCTCCCTCATCTTCTTCTTCCCTTTATTTTGACTTTTCTTTTTTCTTTTTTCTTTTTTTTTTTAAAGAGAAAATTAGACAATTGTATAACGTACTATTTTACTAAATTTATTAATAAATAAATAAAACAAAATTATTTTTTAAAAAGATGGGCCGAGTTTTTGATCCAAGTAGAAAAAAGTTTTGATTTTGAGCGCGTTCCCTCCCGCCCTCATGTTATTTCAAACATCTCCGCTCCGGCTACGCTCGCTCCCTCTCCCTCTCTCTCTGCGCCTAGTCACTGGCTGCTTCCATGGCTTCTAATGCAGGTGCGCTAAAGCATTTCGGATTGAAGTTATTATGTACTGTTTAATTTTCAATCTGCATTATAAATTCATCTTCGACTTCTTCATTTTGCGAATGACTAGTACATGCACTAATGTTTTTTTTTTTTTGTATATGTCAGATGATCTTTGGGCAGAAATCGTCGCATCCGAAGAAGGAGAACTCAAGCAGCAACTGCCCGAAGTTGGAGCGATTTATCAAAGAAGACGACCGCATAACGCCAATAACGTTGTTGACTTGTATGGTTGCCTCCTATTAAATTTGCGATGTTCGTTTTTTAATTTGATACTATCTCCGCAAGAAATTTCTTTTTTTGCTTTTTGTGCAGCGAGCGGATCGATTTTCCCAAAGAGATTCGGGTGAGTTTGGCTGGTGCCACCAAGCGAGTTAGTTGGAATCGTTCACTTTCTATCAGGTTTTTAAGCCCACGCTCCACTAATCCTTTTTCCGCATATTCTTTAACTTGATTGGATTCAATTTTCACCTTATGCTCGTCAAATTGGAAGTTGAAGATGAGTACTTTATAGTTAAATAATTTGATAAGCACAATAGCTATGAAAGCCCTCGCCCAAAGTGGCGCAGTGGCACTGTCTCTTTAATGGGATTTCCAGTGCTCGCTTTCAGCTTCACGAGTTACGAGGCCTTTACGGTTAAGAAAACGAACTAGGGGTTCAAAACTGTGTTGGATAAATGTTTTTTGTCTCGCTTGTGTTTTTATTTTGTTGAGATAGAGGGAGGACAAGCATTGCTGTCGGTGCTTGTGTAGATAATCAACTTCAACAGAGGCAAGCCAAAAGAAAAGGAAAACCAGCTCTTCCCAAGGTGTGGCTTTTGTCTATTTATCAATTGTGTTTCTTGTCCTGAAAGGCATGCTTGATGCAGAACGTCATGTTTTTTGTTTCTTAACTTGAAGACTGAGCTGTGTTGGTGACCTATGATGACTTTTTCAGTTTTCAGTATGTTAAAAAGTGTCTTAATCTTTTTTTCTTCTCAATCAATCATTTTTGTCTTTTATTTATATTTTTTAATCGGGTGATAATGTTAAAAGTCGTCTTATTATTTTTTTTCCCTGGAATTTCTTTGATTTTATATTCTGTTTCTAATTAGAAATAGAAAACCTTAAAATTGTAGTGCTTAACAGGCAAAAGTTGTACAACCTCTAAACTTTGTGAAGGAGAAGGAATATTTTCAAGAGGTTGATGCATTTGAGTTGTTGGAGGAGAGCCCTTCGCCCAAGCATGCTGATACATGGGCCATAGGCAATCAAAATGATACTATTCAGATCCCTTATTTGGCCTCAAGATTGGAGAAATGGTTAATATCTAGGAAGTTTAAGAACAGTTGTGGTCCTTCTAGCACTTTATCCAAGATACTAGATACCCCGGCAGTGTGCTTGGAACCAATATATGATGATAATTTTGCTTCCTCAGATTTCAAAACCCCAGAAAAATCATCCCTGAAAAACAACTCAGTTTCACAACC